CATAGCCTCCCTCATGTCATGCGTCGTCATCGGTTTCACCAAGCGGATTGCACGCTCGGCTGATTGCTTGTGGGAGCAGAGGGTCTGGCCGTTGTTGAGCTCCAGGTGGACCTTGGAACGAAGCGTCGCAATGTAGCCGCAGGGCTCTGGGAACGGGTTCCTGAGGGAACTGGTCCTGATAGTCGTGTCCACCCACGACCTCATGCCCTCTTCATGGGTGATCCCCGGAATGTCCAACGAGCGCCTGCAGCTCTTGACATAGGCCACTGCAACATCCCAGCTCTCCTGGGCTAGCAGCGCACGGAACACACAGCCCCCAACACCTGCTCGGTGGCGCCCTGATAGGCAGTGGATCAGGGCCGACTCGCCTGCATACATTGTATTGCGCAGCAAGGGCCAGACTTCTTCAAAGTCACGGTTCCTCGAACCACCATGGGCCACACATAGGTGTTTCAAGAGGGCATCTGTGAGCACCACTCCTCCTCTGGATGATGGGGCTTCGGCCACGCACGCAATCTGAAGGGTAACTCCCTTTGGAAAGCGATGTGCCGTGTTCCTGGTTGGGATTCCACTCAGCCACAGCTTGCCCCCTGCCCTATTTTGGTAAATAAGGCTCGGGCTCTCCGCTGTCTTGCCATGGATTGTCGCCAACCTGTCAAACTTCTGGTCGGGCCCTCGAGTATCCAGTGCCTCTGGAATCGGAAGGTCCTCCTCCTCGACTTCGACCTCTTCTTCTTCCGAACTGGTAACCAGGGCCGGCAATGGCGCTGGAGGTGGAGCTGGGGCTGCTTTGGCCTTCTTCTCTGGCGGTGCCTTAGGCGGCGGCCCTTGTGGGGACCTTGGGCGCCTCACTGACGCCCTAGGAGGGGCAGCTGGCTCCGGAGGTCGCTCCTCCGTGGATTTGCTAGTAGGCTTGGCCTTAGCAGATCCCGAACCATGCCCTTCGCCAGGCATTTCCTCCACCTTGATGAACTTCTTGTCGTGGCATTCACATGCCGGATGGCCACCACCACAAACTCGTCCAGCTTTGCGCAGAACAGCGCACGCATGGCGACCAGGACAAACTTCCTTCTCCAAGGGGGCAGGACCTTGTCTGGAAGGCTCCACAAATGGGTGCCCCATTCTTCATGAAGGCGCTCAGCACCTTCCCGTTGAGAGATGCTGGCATCGCAGACAAGCCACCCTTGGCTTGTGCCTCCTCTCTTTTGGCAGCAGCTTTGAGCTTGAGGGCCTCAGAAAGCTGGAAACGCGCCTGCATCTCCGCCTTCGTCAGAGGAGCTGCCCAAATAACCCTGGATTCCTGCTTCAGCACCTTGTCAACGGTCTGACGCGCATACTCCAGGGCCTCAGCGTAAGTCTCTGTTGGGATGGTTTCCCATGACTCATAGGCAAGCAGCTTCTCCATAGCCAACCGCACAATGTGCTTGGTCCTCAATGACGACTCATACCTGGCTGCACTGTAGTGCATAGGCATTGTCGCCTCTTTCGGGATCTGGGAACGATCTGCCCAGTCCCCAAGCGAGCACAGCTCCAGAGGCATCAGCTTCATCAGAGTGCCCACTGTAGGTGCAGCTCGCCGCCAGGAGTAGGAAGACAAGTCCTCTGTGTTCTTGACCAAGTGCTCAAAGACTTCACGATTGAGCTCATTGACGGACTTCAACGTGTATGCGGTGCCCTCCGCATCAAAGCATAACCCCGAAGTGGCTTGCTTAGCCTTGTCCAGACTGCTGTAGTCCCTGAATAAGGCTGAGCCCCAAGCCCATCCATTGACGAATGTGGCCGGGATGCTGAAGGAGAACCCGCCCCTGTTGGCCTTCTGCTTCCCCTTTGTGCAGTAGCCATGAAAGGAGCTGGGGGTCACTTTGACCGGCCTGGCACGCATGATGTGCTGGCACCGCAGGACACCAAAAGTGACCAGCCAGCTGGACAGTAAACCCCTCCAACGCGGGTCCTCTGCTTCGTACAACGATTGAATCTTCTCTTCAAGCGCTGCAATCATTGGGGGCTCAACTGCAACAGCCTGTTCTGGGTTTGCCTGTTTGGGCGGATTCTTGCGAGCTGGGACTGGTACATCACTGAAGTCCCATTGCAACCGACCATGTTTGGAGAACCACTTCAAGGAGTGAAAGGCTCGGTAAGGTCCAGGCGTGCCGTTCTGCAAGAAGCCATAGAGGTCCAATGTATCCGGTGGGAACAGGCGGTCCTTCTGCTCCATGTAGGCCCGCAACTCAGCCCAGGACTTCAGGGCATTCACCACCGTTGCTCCTTCAGCCTCTGTCACCTTCCGCTTGGACAGAGTGTCCAGAGCGTCTTGCCACTGGGCATACCTCTCAGGGGTCAACTCCCCTTGAGGACGCATCACCTTGGCTTGAGAAAACGCCTTCCTCAATGCCGCAGCTCGCAGCAGCACATGCTCTGGTTGGTCTGGACCTGGCCGGACTCGGAGAGCTTGGACCATCTTGCTCTTCTTCATCATGGACGCCTTGGGCGTGGGCCATGTTGCTGGCCGGTCTCTGGAGCCCGAGCTTTCAGCCACTGCAGCAGCTTGAGGGATGAGGTCAGCTTCGACGGTCTTGGAGCGCGCTTGCAACCACGCATCTGCCACATGGTGTCCTCCATGTGCCACTGCGCTGTCATAGGATGCAAACGCATATGCGAAGTCGGTCTCATCATGTAGGCCCCATTGAGATCGCCATTGTTCGACACGGGTGGCTGCCACCCTTTCCATTGACGTCTCGGCACAAGGTGGAGCCTCACCAGCAGCCTGCACCGCATAGGCTCCTGGGTGGTACGCCATGGCGACCCCTGACACCACCGCAGCCAAGGTTTGGAGCGTACGTGCTGGGCCTGAAACTGCAGACCAAACCTCAGTATCATCAGGTAACAAACACACATCACTAGGCCGCAGCTGCTGCAGATGGGTCTCGATGCAAGACGGGGTGACATCCTGGACATTGGGAGGGTGGACAGGTGCTGCACACTGAGGAAAAACAGCGCTCACAGAGCTCAGGTGTCGGCAGCCCACAAGCCTTGCAAGGTGGCAAGGGTTCCTCCCCAGCCTCCATGGCACCGAGCCAACCCCATAGAGACCGCACTGCCCTGGCCCGTGGTGCTCTCCACGCAACCAGGTCAGCCGGGATGGGCACCATGGATGGGTCTCTCCATCCTCGACATGGGGACTGCCAGGTCCTCCAAGCGGCCCACAATTCGGTGAGGTCAACCATACTCTCGGCATTGTGCTCGATGAAGGCGACCAAACCAAAGATGTTGTCCGGCGCAAAATCCCGTGCCGTCCAATGAGTCCGCAGCGGTTCGATGAGTAGCAAATCCAGCTTCGCCTCGCCCAGGCGATCATAGTAGGATTGCCACGCAAGCCGCGGGTCACTCCCGGGCAGAGCCAAGATAGCTGAGCTGTTCCATGTGCCAATCCAAGGGAACTTGAATCCTCCCTGGATATTCAGTGCACCTCCTACAGTTCTCTTCCATGCAAGGTGATCTTCTGAATGGGGGGAGTCCCTGCACCCCCAACCCAATTGGATGAGGGGGGAAGTGATCAATTTGGCACACAGATGCCCACAACCGGGTGGCCTGGGCCACCAAGCCCCGTTGGAGCAAGCCCTCCACGTGCGTCTTGAACTCGTAGTAGGCAGCAGCATGAAGAAGCTCCACATCTGTGTGGGCAGCCTCATTCCAACCGGGCCGGATGACGACGGAGGCCCTGGGCATCGGGGGGTGACCTCCCACCTTCGTAACCTCCGTACTCTAGGGTAACGCCCTAGTAGAGGAACGAGAAACCACTGACCCTAGGGTAACTCCCTAGAAGTGGCGTGGGTACCCCAGCAAAAGAAAGAACGATGAAGCCAGTTTGGCTCAGACTTGAGCCAAAATGGATTCATCAGCTTACATACCCACCCTAATGATAATGCACACCCAGTGCCTGCCAAACACGATGCATACATATGTATGTCTGTATGCATGGGAGTATGCATGGAAGTATGCATGGAAGTTTGCATGGATGCATGCATGCATGCATGCATGCATGTATGTATGTATGTATGCATAGGTGCATTGATGGATGGATGGGTGTATCTATCTGCCTTGCTACGTATCGATATATCTATGGCCTATGTATGTATATTAAAATACAGTATGCAGTTTGTGCATATATATATATATATCTTTATTTATTTATTTATTTATAATTGTTAATTTATTTTTATACCCACCATAAAAACAACACAGTCTTACAATCTGGTAACTTAGGTGCATACATCCATCGAGCAAGAAATGCTTGGGAATCTTGGATGCGCATCTTCCATTCCTCGCCAAGACCGGGTCATGTCTTCATGCAGACCTCTGGGGGACATGGCATGCAAGACTCCAAGTGGTTGTTCTCTCATTACATTACAGTACATTGCATTCCATTAGAATACGTTACATTAGGTTAGATTAGATTGGGTTGGATTGGATTAGATTGCATCACATTACATTACAATACATTACATTGTATGTGTGTGTGTGTGCGTGGGCATGCGAACCCTTGGTCACAGATGAAACCCAGCGGGATGGACGCAGCGGGGCTTAAGCGCAGGGCAAAGGGGGGTCACAGTTCGGCATGGTTAATCATGTCCAAAGGGGGGGGCCAAAACCAGTTCGACATGAGAGATCATGGAGGCTGTATCCAGTCTGCCCCCAATTCATTGCTAAAGCAAATCCAACTCCAGCAGCGAGCTAGTTTTCGTGATTATCTCTTTCCATAATTTGGTGATAAGTATCAAGATTCTATTCAACAATCATTGATTGAAAGGAGTGCGTAATACATGTTGAGTCATGTTAAGTGGCACAAATCACTGGACTTTTCTATGGATTGGAATCCAAACATATGGGCTTAGAATAAGATATTGTGTGGATGGTAGATGTAGATATGTTCATTCTCCATTTTCTAGATTACCAGTCGCTAAATATATGCCACATATTGTCCAAGTGTGCTATTCTATCTATTTTTCCCTGCAAGGACTGTGTGCATTGCTTGTTTGCACTGCCAATATGATACAGTAGCACTTCTTGTGCACTTCTTCTGCACCATGCTAGCCCTGTATCTGAAGGCTTGGGACTTCGCGTGGGCTCACCTGGGTCTCGCCATCTCCATCCTTGGGTTGTTCGACAGGCTGGGCCATAAAGCCATTCTCATCCATCTTCATTGAATGAAGTGTATATATAAATGTGAAGAACCTTCAGTAACTTGCAGCAGCCGCAAAACCAGCCCTAAACTCTCAAAAACTTTGACAGCATCTTCGGGTTTGGTTGGAAATGAAAACACTCGCGATCATCGCAGCCAAAGCACGTCCAGTCCAGTTGCTCCGCTCGCCGAGGCGGTCTGCGAATCTGAGCAGGGACGCCGAAGTACGACCAAAGCTCAGAGCAGGATCATGACACCAATTTCAATTCAAGAGTTTATTGCTAAATATTCTCATGTTGTGCTATACTTTGCCAGCACTACTTGGCCGCCTCAAGTCGCAAGCTGTCGGCCAGGGAGGTCAGCTTTTTGTCGCGTCAGCTCTCAGCAAAGTTGCCTGGCCAAGGCCATCAATGCAACTGGGTGGTGATTACAACCGCATCCAGCAATATTAGTCAATGAGGATCATCATCGCAGGTAAGGCTGAAAATCACCCGTATGATCCAGTATGTATATAAGATATACAAGTATAAGCTAATATTGAAAACCAACCTGGAGACATTGTTGAGAGCCGTCAATACCACTGGGATGTCGTTCAAGCAACTTGCCAGATTCGCACAGGGTTCGAGGAGAGCACTACAGGACGTTCCAGTTGCAGGATGAACACATCAAGCACCTCAAAGTGTCAAAGTGTGAAGGAAGAATGCAAAAAATGATAGGCCGTTGCTTGACGGTTGTATTGACTTGTTCTTCTAGACTTGGTGACTTGTTGGGGGGGTTACCTGCCATGCGCACCATCAACCAACTGGCAACACCTCAAAAAATAGCAGGCCTTGGGCCTCTGATGTCTCACTAGGGCAAGTACACTTGATTTGACTTTCACATTGCGTACCCACCTCAGTGAGAGGCTCAGACCTCTCATGCTGCATTTGAATGCCTTTGGATCATTTGAAAGCTTACAAAAACATTATTTCCGGGTGGTTTTCATTTTCTAAATGGATACGGATACATCGTGTCTTGAAAATCGGTGGAAAACAAGTGAGAGCACGCTGAGACAAGGCAAGCTTGGGGCCACCACTTCCCGGCTGCGTGAACCTGAGGCATGACATGACCAAAGGGCTTGCAAGTCTCCAGTCATCCCAGTCAGTTGAGTCTGTCCACAAGCTGATGTCACCTCAACCCATGCTATGGCGGCTGCCGTGGCATCATCCAACCAAAGTGTCACCGCCTCAGGGTACTGAAAGATACTGCAAGCTTTCAACAGCTTTCAAAACATCACCTGCCCGCGCCCTGCCCAGTGCACCAGTGCCGGTGCACCTCGAGCACCTCATTGGAATGGCGCGGTTGCCATGGTAGCTGGGTGCACATGGTGATGTGGGGCCTGCAACAGCGGTGACAGGAGCAGCCCCACACATGAAATGCTGGGCCCTATCAGTTACAGTAAAAGTTGGTTTAAGCAGCATGAGAGTGATGTCCAATCAATCATGTTGACTATTCTTAGTTCTGGGATGTTCTGGGCATTGACAACCCCATTCGTAAACTGGTACTCTGGGACGTGAAAGTCAGTGTATGTGTGGAACTAAGGTGAAAACTGCATGGGACGCCGCGCATTCAGGAAGTCAGACAAGTCAATGCAACCAGGTCTAAAACACCATGAGACGGATTATCTAAAACCATTATTTTTAGATCCCTGGCAATGCATTTTTCTGTTCCCAAAATTTCCAAATCCCCATCAGGACGCGTGTGCACAGTTATTGTCCAAAAACGTTACAAATTTATCCGACTTCCCAAAAATTCTCCCCCACCTAGGGCGCACATTTCATTGAAACGCATTGACATCCACAACTCAGAGTAGCTGCTAGGGGCCATCACTGCACCTGCAACATCCCTCTTTCATACAGTTCTTGTCGGAAAAGGGTTCAGTCCAGTCCCGCCTTTGCTCTTCAGCCATCGGCACACCATCCCCACGCAACCTGCACAGCTTGCAGTTTGGAACCAACTTATGGTGCACATCTGCGGGGCTAAAACTCGGTTTGGAAAAAAATGAAAGGGAAATTCGGAAAAAGTACCGTTTTCCGGCGAAAAGGCACTCCAACCTCGATCCGTCCACCACAGCGAAGGCCAGCGCACCTCAACACAAGTGCTTTGGCGTCCTGGTTTTGAAATGCTGTCGCACCAAGCCATCTGGCCTGGAGCAGCCACAAGGTGTGTGATGCTGCAGTCAAAGGTCGCATTTTCGGAGACAAGCCTGGGTCCAGAGAAACTCCCACAATTGGACCGCCTGGTCCTGAATACTCCAAATTGTGTTCCGGTAATGCCGTGGGCATGCATTGAAAGCCTGCCTTGCCTGAAACCCCAACATTACAAACAAAAAAATAGAAACGAGCCCATTCAGACTGAGCGACGACTTCGAGGCAGCAAGCACTTTCCTTTGAGCATCACCAATCGTGGATCCCAAAAAACACGTCGTAACGTGCAGAGATTTTGGCCTGAGAAATTCAGGCGATTGGAAAGGTTCATCATCAGGACATGCATCGGTGATGGCACGGATCGCCATGGAGACTTTGGTCAGCAATGATTCAATCATGGCATGGTGCCCGTCCACGTCCAATGCGACATAGCGGAAGGCAGGGACAAAATATTGCCTCGGACCGTTGGTGTGGAAGGCGGCCAGTTTAGGCGCCAATTCAAGCACACGCCCCCTGGGTTGGCTCCTTGGGGGTGCATCCCAGATGTCATAAGTGATTAAAAGCCAGTATAATTGGGATCTATCCAGTATATAACTGGAAATAAACGTGTGCTGTCCGCTTACTGACCCTATGTTCTGCTGGTTTACCCCATGTTTGATGCTTAACTACCCCAATCTTTGGTTGTAGAACACCTTTTTTATCCTTTTTTGATGCCTTTCACACCAGTCGGTTTACTCCATCTTTGATGGTTACTGTAATTACCATATCTTGATGGTCACGTTCCTATCTATCAATCGTTTGACCCAAATAGTATGTCATTAATGTCATTATAAAATAATTATAATATTAAATAATTATTTATTCGTTGAAAACATCCATCAATTTATTGGTTCCTATCCCCACTGCAGTACTAAAGAAATCCCATTGGTTCCCTCTGCCGAGATCAGCAGGCAAGTACAATAGGATGAAGCAGAAAGCGGTCGCAAACTCTGCACCATGACAGACATCCTAATTCACAACCAAGATGCGGCTGCGCTGGTGGCTCCACCTGTTCCAAAGCTGCGAAGATTGCGGTCCAAATGCTCTCGGCACAGCCTTCTGTATGCGCCTGCCGCAGCAATTCATCTGGCACCTGCAGCTGCTGGGACCGGAGATGCAAGACTAAAGACGTCATCAGGGGCTTCCACTTCTGCTGGTCATCGAAGGGTTTGCGCAAGCAACTCAGGATCTGCTGCAGCAAGGCCCGAACCTCCAAGCGACACCACAAGGAGTCGGGCTCATCCGAAGTCCAGGATGCCAAGGCTCCAGTGGTGGACAGGTAAGGACTTTTGATCACTGGAATCCCCACGCTGCGTTCGTCCAATGTGAAGCGCTTGTGAAGATAAAGGAAACTGAGCAATACAAATAGCGAGGTTTCACCCCCTGCCAGGGTGTCATGAGATGACCTCAATAACAACCGGGCACCGCACTCCGCAATCACCGAGGGATTCCATGGATATGCCCATGGACCAAAGTGTTTCTCCTCCTCCTGTAGCAGCTGCTTTTCCAGCTCGGAAGCTTCCGCCTCCACGAAATCAATGGCCAAGGCCCTTGGGAGCAAGCGGCAGCCAAGATTTTTGCAGGTGGATTGCAGCACTTCCACCTGGGGTATTGGTCACCAAGCAGAAAAATATGGAAAAATTGGACGGTTGACCACACCCGAAACAAGAAAAGGCCCTACATTTCCACCATTTTCCACCCACATCCACCTCGTTCCGCAAGCTCGATGGAGGGTGGTTCTTATCCAACAGCAGCAAATGCACGGCATCCACGCCGCTGGCAGCTGCAATCAGAAAGTCCTCGATGGCCTTTCTGTACCTGTGTGCCGCTTGCCTCCGGCATCGCGCCACGTCCTGTCCCAGCAGTTTGGGCAGCTAATTCGAGCTTAGTCACGACTCTTGGCTGGTGACATGCGTTGTCTTCAGTGGGGCTTGACAGGGGAGCATCATTGGTCAGAGTCACGATGCTTGTCGTTCAAAGTCCTGCAACTGTCAAGGTCTGCTATATAGGCATCATATGGGTCTTTGTAATGAGCCCGGACTGATTCCTTGTGATTCTTGGTGTGTGATTGGGCTCCCAAATAGTCCGACGCCGTCCCAACTCATGACAAGTCCTGTGATGAGCTTCCTGCTGCAGTTAGGCCCATGAATTGAAGCTCCTCTCCTGTGAAACCATCACCTCACCAGTGGCAGAGTTGGGTCAAAATGGGGCACCAATTTTGAAAAGGATGGCTGACGATAAATGACAACAATCTAGGTGCCAATTTATGACCTTGTCATCCGATTTCTTTTTGGATGAAAACTTGCGCACTGCAATAACGCTCCTTCACGCTGTTGAAGGTTGCAATGCCAAGTCACTGGACACAATTGCCGCGGAAGATGGTTGGATGGGCAGGGCACTGAAACTTGGATCCAGTGCACCGGCTTTGTCCAAGAGCTTCCCTTGGCGATAGCATTTCAACCCGCCACGCTGGCAGCGTTGAAAAAGGGCTTCAAGAAGAGAACTCTTTCCCATGCCAGGCAAAGCCAAGGGGATGATAGCAACCACCGTTGCCCTGGAAGCTTCTTGCCATTGCAATTCACGCGCCGGATTGGGGGCTTCTGTGTTGGCCCACGCTTGCTCAATGCTGGTGGCAATGGTTGACATCGCCCTCTGGTCGCTTAAGCTTGGCAGGCCCGGCAGCCACAAAGTTTGGCCCTGGGGCAGCTTGGCTTTCAGATTCAATGCTTGAGCCTGAAGTTTCTGAAAGAAAACCCCCGAAGCACTTCTCAACTGCTTGCTCCGCAACAGCCTCCTTTCCGTCGGGGATTGACCCCTGCTTTGCTTGATCTGGAGCTGAGGCAGGGTTGACCAGCCACTCCAGCCCCATAGAATGAAAAGGCAGCGCTGCCCTAGAGCCTGTGCCAATTGAGAGCTACTCTGATTCCTTCGCTCTTCCATCTCCATACGACGTCGCTTTTGAGCGGGCTCACCGTCCCTCGGCACAAAGAGGCCCTCCACATGAATGGGAATGTGGTTCAAGTAAACCTGCCAGGGGATATGCATTCCTCATTCACAATCATCCAAAATGACCGCACTGTGCCACTACCTAGGGCTTCCCCACTTGACTGGGAGAGCATAAAATCATGCCTGAACCGCCCTAACCATAAATCCAGTGGCTGCAACGATCTTGGGACTCCAAGGCCTTGGCTTTGGATGCTGTGGATGCATACCAGGCCGAGGCCAGATTCTCCTTGTGAAGCTCCGCACAACTCCGCTCCAAGCCACCTTGAGTACCTGGACCACCTGGAGCAGGCGGACTTGGCTTCATCTGCCCACGGTCCTTCAACAAGGCCTGCAGGGCGGCAGCCAGCTGCCCATCCACTTGAAACGGGGGCACCACTAGGCAAAGGGCCGGAGCAGGTCTGCGGGGAGCATCTGTGCCATGGTAGCTCTCGGCACGCTGAAGCAAATCCAGGAACTTCTCATCCACTTCCTCTGCTGGGAGGTCCTCTGCGAAAATCAGGCGGCATAGCTTTCCTGGTTGCTGTCACTTGCAAATAACACTACTCGAAAACATGTTTTTTTTCCAGAAGTTCGTGGTTTCTCGGTTGCTCGCAAAAAAGATGGAAGAGGGGTTCGAGAAGGTGAACGGATCTGTCTGCCTGATTTGAAATTATCCCGGTGCGGTGAAGAGGAAACATTGATGCCAGAAAGTGTGAGGTGGTAATTCGGGTTTCAAAAAATTGTCAATTCTTCCCCCCTTGGATAAACCCAAGTTCATGTATGTTCATGTTGACTGAGCTTCCAAGCGTGTTGGCATGGGTCTCCACCACATCTTCTTCCAACAAAGTAGCTTCCCGCCTGAAGTCTTCCAGCACATCCTCCACCAACAAACAGCCGGCACTCTTGGCAAACTGCTTGGCCTTGTCACGCATGCGTCGCAGGGCCCGATACTCAGCTGTTTTCAATTTGCCCATGTGAATCACCCGACTGCCATTGGCTTCGTCCAAATGACTAGTGTCTGGCTGGGCTGAGATGTAAAGCACATAGCCTTCTCCGGCTTCGCTCAGGGGTGCCTTCTCAACAGTCAGCACCATCTGCGAAAGCGCATCCAAGAGTGATTCTACTGTCTTGTACACCTCCATGTGATGCCCAAATTCCACACCTGGCAAACCTATCTTCTGAAAGAAGCTGTGGCTTCGTGAAGGCACCCAGCAGGCCTCCTCTCCCTCATGAGGCACGACGGCAAACCACTGCAGCTTCCGATCAGGGCCATACTGAACCAGGTGTGCCCCGCTTCCACCCACCATTTCACCAATCAGTGTGGCTGAAGCCAGGGTTTTCCGGAGTGATTTGCAAGATGCCTCCTCCAAAGCCGACAGCTGCTGGAACCACAAAGCCCCAACCTGCCGTGCGAAGCGATATCTGCGATCTGCCCACTGAGGCAACTCCAGCTCTGGGGCGCAGGAAGCCAAAATGGAAACGTTTTTGGAGCACAGGACCCACTGCCCAGTGGGCAGATGGTAGGACACCTGAACATTTTCACCATTGGCTTTTTGCAATTTAGTCAATGAGATGGCTGCATTGGCCGAGATGGCTTGTTGGATGCTATCTGCCAAGAGCTTGGAAGCTGCCCCTTGGCTCTGGGATAGAGTTGCTTGGCTCGCCATGGTGCCCGGGGCACCCAGGCTGCAGGATGCTTCGGCCAAACAGGCTGCATCGATGTCAAAGAACTTTGGCAAACCGCGGCGCACCACAGTGGCTTCGCCCCCGCCAATGGGTTCCACAAAACCTCAGAAACAAAATGCAATCAGCTTAGGGGACTTATTTTGAGGTGATCCAATCTCATGTGCCAAATCACGAGCGAGATAGATTGCGCCACATAGGTGAAGGGATTGGTAGAAAGTAGTGAAACAAGAAATGCACTCATGTAAATCCTTCTTCATGTACTACTGTTCGGCAAATCATGTTCAACTCGTGCGAGCAGTCAAATGGATAGATAACAAATCAATAGGTACTTAAGATAAGAAGAGAAACAATTGAATGAATAAATAAACAAACAAGTACGTGAATATGCGAATAAATCTCTGTGTGCAATTTTGTGTATTTTTGATGATATAAATTGGCTCTAAAATCTATAAGTACCAATAAATACGTTCCAACGGCAAGTAGCTGAGCCCACGCCTGGCTCTTTGGATCAGCCTGGGATCCTCCACAAACAGCAGATCTTCGGAGCGCCCCCGCAGGCGGCTTCGAGTGATGGCCACGTCGTGCAGCAGCAGGCCGTTGGGGAAGCCGGGCAGGCCGGGAAGGCGGCGACTCACGAGGTGCAGCAGGGGACACGCTTGGACCCAGCGCCATAGATCCATTCAGAACAATGGTGCAGAGAAATGAAGATATTGAAGAATCTATCTATCTATCTGCCTACCTACCTACCTACCTATCTACCTATCTACCTACCTACCTGTCTATCTATCTATCTATCTCTCTCTCTCTCTCTCTCTGTCTGTAGTTGTGTGTGTGTGTATGTGTGTATGTAGGTAATCATCAACGTAATCATCAACATCTGAGGGTACGGGTCGAAAATTGCAGTAGCACTCTGGCATCACACGTGTTTGATCATCTTTGCCAGTAAACCATGCAATTTCTTTCATAGTACCCAACTGTGAACCATGTTGTGGTCGCTGTCCCGCAGGAGGTGAAGGCTCATTATGAATGGCTTAAACCATCTACCGCAAGGGTTCAAACATCATTCACAAAGCGCTTCTGGATCATGTGAAACATGAAAACTGCAATGCCTGAACCAAATGCTGCAACACCTGCTTGCATTCACACATCCAAATTGTTGTCTTTCTTTCAATTCCCTGTTCAGGAACACAGTGGGATGTCAGCACGCAACATGTTCAGAAATCAGTGCCTGCTTATCAACTGATAAAGCACACAGCAACTTTTCCATGATATGAAGCGTGGAGTAATTGTGGAAGCTACTTCTTGGCAGTTTCGCCGCCTTTTGCAGCGCTTTCATTGCCCTTCACTGAAATCTTCAAGTTTGGAAACTGAGCCTAGGAAGGCGTAGGAATATGTTGAGGCACAAACTCCCCCTAAATTCACCGGAATGTGCAACCCTTCTCAGGCAGGTGCTATCAGCTTGCTAGGATCTGCCAGCGGAGTCTGCGGAGTCATGGCCTCCAGGCTTTTTTTTTTGGGTGAAGTCCCCAATTCGTGTGACGTTCCAACCCACGGCAACTTTGACCAGCCTTTCGTATCTCACTGGCAGCCTCTTTGAGCAGCTCTCGTTTCTCCTGACTACGTCTTCCACTACATCTGTGTAGCCGAACCCTGGGAATCCATCTTTCGGTTTGTCCAAAAACAGGGTACGTACTCATTTTTCATATTTGCCATTGGAAAAAGGAGATACGAAAATGATGACCAATGGATTTCAGGGATACATGTCCAACTGCGGACGACCCCATGTCCACACTATCCCTCGAACATCCCTCCACCAAGACCACTCAGCCAAGGACCTCTGCACCTTCAATGGGCGCCTGACATCGGTGCCACCACTGTGACCCCATGGTGACCCCATAACAACAGCATCCCTTCAACGGACGTGCGGAAGCTGCACCTTTAAGGACTCCAAGTGTTCAGAGTTCGTCGGGCCTTACCACCCGATAGCAATTAACAGTTGGGTCAGTTGGGTCCTAAATCTGACAAAATCCTTTCAAACAGATTCTTGGCTGCTTCGCAACTGAGTCCCAGGCACAGAGGCACCTTAGCACGACCAAATTGAAAGCATTTGAAAGCTGACTTCTGATGGAGTGGATAGGGCCGATAGGGCCGGGCAAGAACTTGGGCCCCTGGCTGCCTCACTGTCCAGACCCAAGTCCCTCAGAATCACAGGATCCACTGGCTGCGCAAGCACCTCAGCTGTCAGTCTGCAGATGTCTGCAGCAATGCCTCCTGTTTTCTCTCTCCAAGAGGGAGTGCCTCGCCACCTGTCGCAGCTCAGGGCAGACTGAGGTCGCATCGCTCAGTTTCATGCTTTCGCCATACTTCTTTACTCTCATAGCCTGATCAGCTTCATGCTGGAACTTCGACCGCCGCCGTCCAAGGAGCAAGCTGCAATTCTTTCACCCAAAAAATGCCACGATGTGCAGTTTCTTGTCTCTACATCCCAGATCGCACCATCTCCGGCTCATCAAGGGGGGCTGGAGGAAGGCTGAAGTTCACCAGCTTTTGTTCCATACCTCAAGGATTCTTGATTCCTCTGACTCACTTGGCTGCAAGTCACAAATATTCCATCGTTGCTGGGCCCAAGCTTCTGGGCGCCAGGCTTTCCAAGACCTCTGTGTGCTGTTTGGAAGGAGTCTGTTCGGCTGAGAGAGGCGGTCCTTGAGTGAACCCACGCAGCCATGCTTTGGAATCCTGTTTCACTCGGAATCCCGAAGCCATTGTCAGTTCCCCCTTCTGGGATTCCAAGAAGCCCAAACAAGCAAATATATATATATATATAGAGAGAGAGAGAGATAGATATAGATATAGAGAGAGAGAGATAGATATAGATATAGAGAGAGAGAGAGATAGATATAGATATAGATATAGATATAGATATAAATATAGATATTATATATAGATATAGATATGATATAGATATAAATATAAATATAGATATAGATATAGATATAAATAGATATATATATATATATAAGCCATTCAAATGATAAATCAATCAACTACGCTTCACTGCTTTACGTCAATTTCAATCAAACCTGCCCGAAAATCATCGAAAATCCGCTACCAAATGCTGCCGGCCTCCCAGGAACTGACGCAGCACAGGGGTCTTCACCTGCCGATTGACGTGAGGCTTTCTGCCACCAAAAACCAGGAGCCTCTCACTCCACCCAGTCCACAACCTATAGAGATCTGAACGTTTAAATGGTTCCTGGATTGGCCTAACTAATAGCAGTTTCCTTGAACCATCTTGAATTTCGAACCCGAAAAAAGAAATGCTCACCGCTTATGCCTCTGGCTCTAGTGCTAGAACGGCCAGCAGGTACTGCTCCAGTGCGGCCTGAAGACGAACAGAAAATGGGAGGACGTGCAATGATCAACACCTTTATAAACATGAATAGGTAAATAGATGAATGCATATGAATACATAATTGAATGTATACATTCCGTTACGTTACGTTGCGTTCCGCTAGGATACATTACGTCACGTCACGTCATGTCGCATCACATCTTATCACATCACTTTACATCACATTAGATCGTCATTGAACCATATAAGAATATATGTGTATTAAAAGTATATCATTATAGTATATTGCAACCCTCTCACCTCCCTCACTGCTCTCGCACCTGTCGGGATGCAATGAAAGCAGGGTCATTGTTCCCAAAAAAGCGCTTTGCCGGAAACTGAGGCCTGAGCAATGCCATCAATGCCATCAAGCTTCATCATCCCAAGAGTGTTGTCTTTTATTGTCCAAAATCTTACACACCAGCTTTCACAAGAGGACTTGGGTCTCTCTGGAAACGTGGTACCCAAAAAATCGTTGTTTGGTCCGTTTGATCATCGGCTTCCGTCTGAAAATGCTCATGTAAAGTTCACTAAACCGACTAAACCCCAATAACTATGTAGATCTCCTCTGAACAGGACCCACTTCGCTCCAGGAGCCAGGCAGGTTGTCGGGATATCGGAGCTTCAGCTCATCACTCAGCTCCCGGAGTTCGCGGTAGCGCCTCAGGCGCACAGCGAATCTGGGAAGTTCGTCAACACACTAGCCTTGGATGTAATCAATAGATATCAATAGACCCAACGCACATATTAGATTCATTGGATCATATTAGCCTTTGATGATGTCAGATGCAATAGAACTGGAGATTCATTATCAAAGTGCATCAAGATATGGATATTAACCAGCAAAAAGCTGGGTAGGTAATCGACAAATATGGTTCCAAGTAGAATCTGACAAAACAAAACAAAAAAAAAAAAACGTTGGAAAATGAGTACCGAAAGTCGGAAGTGACCAAAACCTGTATGTTGCTGACTATCGCATTATGTCGAAGGATTGGCGTCCATTCTGAAGGCTGTTCTTGCTACCTAGCCATCTATCTTCATGCGACGTGCTATCAAGCTTTGAGCCATGGGCTGATCAGCTGGAAAAGTCTCAGGCTGCTTTCAAGCTAAGAGCCCAACTTTTGCACGTTCCAGCTCGCTCCATCTGAATTCGTCACCTGATGGGTCAGGTGAACTTGCAAAATGCCAATAAGATTAAGAATAACGGGCTGTTCATCTGAGTAGTTCGGGCCTTGATGACATATGTGGTATGTCCTTCTGCAGAGGTGTTCCCGATGAACCTCACCTTGGACCACTGCTTCGAGGTGGCTGAACTGTGGGGAGGTTGAGGGCCACCCTACGCGGCCCAAATCCCTAGACTCGGTGGCCCGGCGTGAAACTGCGGCGTGACCTCGCTGCCTCGGTTGCCCAAACTAGGTGCACTCAGCCCATCCCAAAAACAATCGACTGGAAAGCAACAGTACTGGAAACCACCAAGAGACTACTTGAGCCTATTTAAAACTATTTATATATATATATACATGATACGTGCAGTACATACACTATAGAAATACAGTACACGCAATTCAATATATAATATATACATGCACACAACAAGACAAGACACACCACGGCAAGACACGATACAACAATACAAAACCATTGCATTACATTATGTTAGATGACGTGACGTTGCGTTACATCACATCACATTAGATTTTTTCTACGTTACATAAATCATGGATATGATCCGCCAAGAAACACCACATCCCCAGTTCCGCCAAGAAACTCATGGCCCTGGATTTTTCAGGGTGCCTCAAGCGATCTTCGGCCCCCTGCCTCTCGGGGGCCTCTGGGCTCAAAAGCTACGGAAACACCATGTTCCGGGTACCTTCATGGATTGAACAAATTCATGTGGTAAAAATCCTGTCAAATAAATCGGTCCGTCACTTGCATCAATCAAGTGCTTTATCGACTCAACTTTTTTTTGCACGCAACGAATGGATGCTGGTCCATGGCGTCAAGCCCTCACCCGGCTCATCAATGCCTGGACACAGTTAGGTTAGGTGGGTAGCTGCACAATTATTCGTATTATCATCTGACAGTTTCTAACCCACCAAGGTATGACACAAGCCATTGGGAAGATGCTCCTCCTCTTGTCGGAACCGGCTTCTATTGTATGTTTACTATCTTTTCTGGTGCAGGTTTATATCTGGAAAGCATCTGGATGCGCATCGGCCCCACACTCCATATTGTGATCCGGTCAGAGGACACAGCACAGCATCGCGCACCGTTTTTTTTCCCCAAATGCTATGAAGCTTCGTCAAAATGGCTGGGTCTGTAGCATCTTCTGGACAGCGGCATCTCAGGAATTTTGAACTTGGGCTCAAAGTCCGAGTCATCAAACGCATCCTGATGAACCTTCCACACAAGCCATGGAAGGAACTTCACGACCGCCACAATTCCTCACAGTTTTGGTTGCTCAAGTGCCATTATGTCCCGTGTCCCAGCCTCTTTCTGACGTCCAGGTTTTGGACCAGGCTCTTTCCGCATGGTTTCCTTGGGCATCCGTGAGGAACTTGAGGATGAGCCCCCCTCAGCAACTGGCCAGGCTGCTGGCATTTGATGTAGGGTGTGGCTCAGAAGCAAGGCACCATACAGAATTCGTACACAAAATTTCGTCAGCGCGTCTTCCACTAAAAATGCGTTTGTGTCTTCCAAAAATCATCCAACTGTTCTGGGTTAGAGCGATGGCATGGCCTAGGCCCCACACTGCAAGGCTTCCAGGCAGCAAGGTCTTCCGTGGCTTCTGAAAGGATGCCGCTTCCACCTGCTGATGCTCTTGCCAGGCCTGGCTCACTGCCAGGGGCTGCCTGAGCCAAACGTGGCAGCTGTGGCAGCTGAAGTGAGGTTGATTTTTTCATAGGAAGATCGGCGGTCCATGGATGAAAGGGAAAATGTTACAGGAAACCGTTGGTATTTTGAACCTGCAGGAAAATCCTGTGGAGACCATGGGCTTTTCTATCCGTTTAGCACAGGGTAAACTCCTTGGAGCCGGACTTGGTGCCGGGAAGCCTCTCCTTTGATCCTTCTTTGACTTGCCTGGCACAGAAGTGTTTGGACCCCACTGCTAGGGAACGTGGGACTGATGGGTCATCAAGTTGAAGTTCTAAGGGCTAGGGCTGAGGACTAAGGATTTACATCTACATCTCAAAGTGTCATATGAAACAGATACTGTCTCACGCTCCCGCAGCTTTCTTTTTCCCACAGCTATGCCTATGCTCAGTCAATCTTTCACCTGCAATCCTCAGGTTTGCTTTGGGTTGTCACAAAGTGACACGTACATAGCCCCAGACCAGTTTCGCCACTGGTCAGCTGCCTGTCAACCCAGGCTGGAACCTGCTCTGCAGGAATCACCCATCCCGTAAACCTAAGGGAGGGTAGATCTCTCTTGGTCGCCCCAAGAGAGGATCCCCGATAGAGGCTATGGACTCGCCTGCCTTGCAGGCTCCCCTAACCTAGGCGGACATCTCCACGGGAGGTCGGCTCTTAGGGTTGGGAGGGTGGGGAAAGAAAACAGCAATGAATGCTATTTTGGTTCAAGTTTACTTGAGCCAAAATGATAGCATTCATTGAAGCACTTAAAGATGATACATGCACACCCAAGCCTGCCAAACTCAATGCATGGGTACATCTCAAAGTGTCATATGAAACAGGTACTGTCTCACGCTCCCGCAGCTTTCTTTTTCCCACAGCTATGCCTATGCTCAGTCAATCTTTCACCTGCAATCCTCAGGTTTGCTTTGGGTTGTCACAAAGTGACACGTACATAGCCCCAGACCAGTTTCGCCACTGGTCAGCTGCCTGTCAACCCAGGCTGGAACCTGCTCTGCAGGAATCACCCAATGCACTAACTCCCAAAGCACTAAAAAGGTATTCGAAGGTGAGAATGACAGCAGCAAAAGGTAGCTGGAAAAAGATTGTAGGGAGGTACGACGAATGAAAAACAAAACCATGGCTTCGCCACCATGGATCGTTGACGCCAGGTCGGCTGATGTCGTCAGCCCAGTTGCTCTTGCTCTGGACGTACTCCCAATACCCTTGGGCTCGCAGTGCAAACAGAGCTAGATGAATCAAATGACCTAGCTTCGCTAAGTCGGCATTGCTAGAACGTCCTCTCACTAGCGTCATGACGGCTGCCACGTTGTCCAAAAACCAGAGGCCGTGTCGGTTTCGAAACAGGTCAGGCCTTTCGACTAGGGCGTAGAGCACCATTGAAAGTTCCAATTGGGCGATGTGCGTCTCTGCAGGTTGCCAAAGTGCTTGCAGCTCTGCACAATTGGTGGCGACAAAACTGTGACGAATTTGTGATCCGTCTGGCTGGAAAAAGATCAGGTGAAAACCTCCTGAACCAGGATTGTCTGCTTCGACAGCTGCGTCGGAGGCTGCAAGGAAGCGCAGATGATCCAGGTGCAGAACGGGAAATTGAAAGCGCATGACTGCTTCGATCACCTCGAAGCATGCTTCAATCTCCGGGGTTATGGTTGAGGTGGGCTCGTCTTGCCTGGCTTTGATCGCCATAAGACCACCATATCCCACTCGACCATAGATGCCCTGCTCCAGGAAATTGGCTAGGCCGTACAGCTTCGATGCTGCCCCTCGCCTGAAGTGGCCAGTCACCCTGGCCGTTGCCAACATATCACGTACTTTGTCATGGAGCCGTTCTCGAGCCCAAAAGCGCACATGTCCTGTTTGGTTGATGGAGCTGAGATCATGGGTCAGCCCCAAAAAGGTTCCTGTGCTCTGCATTGATTGCTTCTTGTCCTCGGCGAAGGGGGAGCCGATCAAGGAACACAACTGATTCATGGCCCATTGGCCAGACCCTTTTGAAGAGCGCAAGTCTGTGATGGTTGCGTCATCAAAGTACAGGGATGTCAAGACTCGGCAAAAGCGCCTGGCTAGCGCCTCCAACAGTCTGGAAAATCTGTTAAAAGAGGTAACTGCTAGCGGAAGCCCAAAGAGCAGCCCAGCATAGATCTGGTATGCTGGGGTTTGCCACTCGTGATGGTACCACACCACCACACATCCCAGGCTTTCCTGCAATGCCATAGGGCAATACCTGTGTGCTGAAGGCAGATCTTCCTGTCCTGTCTCCCAGGCGTCGCATGCAAAGAAGTTTGAGATTTCTTCATCTGTCCAACGATGCATGGCCAGGCGAATGTGTTGGGCAGGGCGCAATGGGCTGCACAATGTGAGCTTGTTGGCATCGGATGACAAGGCTGATTGTCCTCCAGTGTCACCATTGTCGATCACTCGCTGCTTGCCAGAGCTTTGCGTGATCACGCAACGTGGAATCAATCTATGTGCCTTGTTGCCAATGGACCGCAGGAAATCTGGCCGCCTCAAGGGTGCTGTGCAGAAGCCATTCGCTGCATCCTCCAACGACTGTTGCAGGAGGAACTCATCATCCTTACCTGCTCTCAGTTGGTGTAAGATGTGCTGGTTGTGTTCTTGCCATCCATCTAGCACTGCGGACATGCTGATCACCTCAGCCGGTTGTTGGGGGAAGATCCCATAGGGTGGTGCATACCCCACTGCTGGCAAACCACGGATCAGGCCATATGGAAAACTGGTGTCGGCCCATGATGTCAGCAACATCAACAGTGCGATGAACCCCACATCGCGATGCCGTGTAACCTGCTGTATGGCAGGCTCTTGAAAAGACCGCAAGTGGAGGGTCACCCCCTCCCAACGTCTCTTCAGCTCGCGCATGGCCCCTACTGCATGCTGTCGCCACGGGCGCAATGGTTGGCCATGTGCTGCATAGGCATCAGCTACGAACTCCAGATCCAAGTCAACGACTGGGAGGTCTTCGTAGGGCAATGGTTGCTGGGCTCGTTGTACTGCTTGGTTGAAGTGGTCATCGCGGTCCAAGTTGAATGGTAGCAGCGGTGGCAAGGCTGCGCGGTGTGTCATCGCGCCAACTTGGCACCCATCCCCAATCCGCGCAAGCTGTCTCACTGACCCAGCAGCAAGGTGCGGGACTAGGGGGCCATCCCAAGCTTCTCCTCGCTCTGCTAGCCAAGCAGCGTAGGAACAGAAAGGTGGGCTGTTGATGAGGTCTTCAACCATCGCGAACTTGTAGTTCTTGAACCATTGCTCGGGGAAAAGCTTCTGGAAGGCTAACACCAGGGCTTCTTGGCTCATCATGGGTAGGGCTACACCTTTGGGAATAGCCTGAATCCCCTGCAGCAATGCCACGGTCCGGCTCCATCTGCCATCGGTACCCCTCTGCATCGGGTCGCCCCCAGGTGCAGTTGCATCGAAGAAGAGTCCGATGAGCATATCGGCTTCGCACAAGTGCTCCATGGGGCAGTCGCACGCCAGCACCATGCCGCTGAGCTCATGCAAGGCATCCCACAAGGGTGATGTCCGGATGTGGACAATGTACCTGGCTGGCCACTCACCGGCCTCGCAGTTGTGGCCTGGTGTCCATGGAGATTTCCACTTGGTTGTCGACAGGCGATGATGGAAGCTGCCACGGCCGACGTAAATGGTCTTGCGTGGCAGTTTGTTGTTCTCGATCATAATCCTTGACGAGCTTCCTGACCGGTAACCCCGGCCGTTCGGCTCGCAGGGACTCTGTAAGGCCCAGCGTCACTGCCAATGGTGCCATTGCCCATTCCCGCATTGCGCGCGGGTCCATATCCAGCCAGTGCTCACGACGCCCAACTGACAAGAAAGTGGGCATGCGTGGGACATGCAGCACGGCTAAACCTGTGCGGACTGCCCACCAGCTAGCCGACACTGCGATGGCAAAGGCAAGGACTGCTGTGTACTCCGCCTCTTCTTTAGATGGATAGAACCTTTGGCCGCCAGATGTGTAGGGGGTCCATTCTTGCGGGTCGTGCACATGGTGGCAATTGGCCGGGGGCCAGCGCTGAATCTCCTCCACATTGTGTCGTAACACTTGATGTTTGCAACGCGCCCCGCCCAAGGTACATGCCGCATAGGCTGTGTCGAACCATTGTCCCGATTCCCACATGGTCACCTCAGTGGACGTCCACCAGTGCAGGGAACGGGCAGGGTTTTCACGCACACTGCCTCCCCCCCGATCCCGCAACTTCTGAATCTCTCCCAAGACGTAGTTGCAGGCTTTGTTGTCAAGGTCGACTCTTTGAGCATCCCGGCTATTGAGGTGGGGCAGGCCATCAGGATATACCTCTGATCGAAGAGGGCCAGGGGCTGGCCGCCCATCTTCAAACTTCCTGGGAATCTCCCTTGCCCTGCTCTTCGTAGAGCAATCGATGGCTGCCGCTATGAAGATCACCTCTTCAAGCTGCTTGCTCAAGGAATGTTGCCGGCGCTCATCAGATAGGTCGTGGCTGTCATCCAACAGCCAATCCACTGTTATGCATCGCCATCCACAACTGATGAATGCTTTGGTGAGGGGTGCGTTGGGACCTGCCATGAGATCTGCCATAAGAGGTCGCCCCTCTTGCGGCTCTAGCTCATTCGACCCAAAGGAGGCAGCCGCCTCCTCTTCTGGGGTGTGTCAACACTTGCCGGTGCAGTTGGCTGCACCATGGTTGAAGGCTCCACACACCCGGTCTTTCCTGACAACTGCTCCGCATCGATGGGCTCCTTGAGGACAGGGTTTGGCCTTGCAGCCTCCTCGTTGAAATTGTGGACAAAGTTTGGTGCCATCTTTCATGGCCGTCGCCACAGGTTTGCCGTTGATCGGCTTTCCCAATTTCAGTGGTGATGAACTTGGCGGCACTTTAGATGGACTTGCGGTGGAAGCTGCGGTGGGGGCTGCACTCTTCTTGTCCGGGGTAGCTGGCCCTGGTGCAGACCAATGTGCATCCCTGGATGTATAGACCTCGCTGATCACTTGGCCCAAGCTCATTGTGGATTCACGGAATTTGGACACCCATTCACTGCGTTCTTCCACATCTTTGGCCTGGAGCCATTGCATGCGCTGTGATGTGGGCAAACCTGCCACACTGCGCTTGGCTCGAAAGTAGTACTTGTAGACGACGTCCATGGGAACGTTGACAAACTTGACCGTGTCTGCTCCCAAGTTGAGCTCTTGTGCTGCG